GGTAAAACAATTTATTTTCCCTGTCTCTCCTTTTGCTGCAGCCAAAAACGGCAACAATTTTGAACATGTTTATGCGGTCCCGGGTGCACGCCACTATCATACAGCGTTTGCTTGTCTTCGAGTATGGCGGATGCCCCGCGAGTTCGACGTATCGTTACGTCACGTGAGATATCTCTATAGTGCGGCTGATATTCACCTGTGTTGATGGACAGAGCCACAGCTAAGGCCAGGGACAGCAGCAGCTTGAGTGCAGTCTTCATGTCTGCAGATGTCTTCAGGCGTCTGTCTTTCTCCTGTCTAATGCACCTGTACCTGTGACTGTTGTGATGGATGCTGCTCCTTCTGACTCCTTTTAAACTGGATGTGCTTTGGGAGGGGCCATTGCTCTGACGATCATTCTGGTTTGGAGAACTCACCACGCCCTTTCACGTCACACAACAATAAACCTGCTTATTCTTATAACTCACTGGAACTGGTTTGACCATGACTATTATTCTAGCTTAATATGTGCTCCACTGCTTTGCCAGGTTATGGTAAATAACATATAATTAGGTACATAAGAATAATTACCTGATTATGGAGGATTAGGTAAAAATCAAGGCCACACCGTGACTCTGTAAACTGTACAGTAAATAAAATGATTTGTTTACAGAAAACTTGATTCATTTATTATTTCTTAATTTTTCACAGTCCATCCTATGCAGGTGAGTGATAATAATTTGGGTGATACACCATAAAACACTCAAAACTTGCTTGTGCTCCTTTCACTGTGAGCCATCACATTTTCTCCAAGTTGACATGATGCTAACACTTTTAGTCACTGACAGAAGCAGAAAAACAAACACTGACTGTGTTAGACGTGTATGATACGCTGGGAAAGGCTGTGCGTGCTGATTCCCTGTTTTGGAATCTGGCTCCTGTCAATCACTTCATCATCACTTGTCATGAACGAGAAAGACCGCCAACGCTGAAACGCTGAAGCCCCGCTCACCAGACGCGCATTCTCTAGTTTTCAGACACAGGGGTCTTCAGACCGAGATGCCCTGACGCGAGCCGGAAGTAGCCGGCTCTGATGCTAACAGAGTTTAGCTAGCGGCTTCTTGTGTACAGATCCTCTCCAATATGCAGCTTTGCAGCGTGTCCTTGTTCAGAGACCTTCCACGGACTTTATATAACAGCAGTATGTGTTCACGGAGATGCGCCATACGTTCTTTCATATTATTAAACGGTATTTCCGCATCGGCGAACACACTCGAAGCAGTTGCATAAGGTCACGGGAGCATGACAAAGTATATATTCACAAGCACACAGTCCCCCATTGTCAACCCTGGTTTGAGTTCTGGTGAAGCCTGGTGTGGGTCCTGTTTTGGCTGTTTATGACTATTTTCAGTCTGTTCTCTCAGTCCGGTTGCTGCACGAACGTCCCAAGGATCCTTTCCTTGGCACGTAGAATCCATCCATGAGCAGAATCCATCTCCTGTGGGCGTCGACTGGGTGTTCACATTAACAATAAACTGAACTGGTCTCATAACACCAACGCCCTGCACAAGAAGGGCCAAAGTCGCCTCCACCTTCTGAGGAGGCTGTTGAGTAGACTGAACAAGCCAGCTCCACTCAGGAGGGACAGGAGGCCCCTGAACTCTGTGGAGGAGGTGAGGGACAGGAGGTGCTAGTCAAAGTCACCTCCATCATGGACAACACCTCCCACTTCACAGGACTGTAGAGGAACTGAGGAGTTCTCTCAGTGGAAGACTGAGGCCTCAGTGCAAGAAGGAGCGCTACCGCAGGGACTAAAAATAAGGATTACTTACTTAATTACTTGCTTGCTTCATCCTCACCGCTGTCAAACTGCACAATAAGTCACTTTATTATATGACTTGGATCGTACGCGCACTCTGATTGGTTGATTCCCATCTGATAGTTTCCCATCTCGGACCGTTACCATGACAATTGGTCCGCAGCGCGTATCACATTTGATATCTGTCCTCGGTAAAAAAAGAATGAGTGACGACTTCGAAGAGCCAGAGGAAGTAATAACAACAAATAACGACGAAAACACAACTCCAAGAAGAGATTGACAACTTCATTGCACATCAGAAAGCTAAGAACACGATTAGGAAAACCAAGTCGGAGATCGATATTTGCATAAATTAAAAATATTCACATAGTGAAACATTTATTAACCTTGCTTGCTCGTTAAGGTGGCAGTCCCCCCCTGGACTGCCACCTTAACGTGGTGGGGGAGTTTGAGTACTTGGATGATCCTGGGAGCTTTGCTGTCTGGGGCTTCATGCCCCTGGTAGGGTCTCCCATGGCAGACAGGTCTCAGGTGACGAGTCAGATTCAGATTCAGATTCAGATTCATTTATTGGCCATGTGCAGTATAAAACCTACATTGGAATACATTTGCAATAAAAGGTACTCTGTGTGCACCGACAGAATAAAAGCACGATACAATGTAATATAAAATACACATACACTGAATATAAAATAATAAAAAAAACAGCTGACACTGTGGCATCGATCAACAAAACGATACAAGGGGTAAAAGCAGGAATTAAAGTGCTCTGTTTAGGCACCTAACAGCCTGTGGAAAGAAGCTGTTAGCATAGCGCGATGTCTTGCATCTCAGTGACCGATATCTTCTGCCAGAGGGAAGAAGCTGGAACATGGCTTTCCCAGGGTGGCCAGAAGAGTCACCGATGATTTTAAGAGCTTTGTTTAAAAGTCTGGATTTGTAAAGAACCTCCAGAACAGGAAGCTCACAGCCCACGGTCCTCTTTGCAGAGCGGAGCACCTTGTTTAAAGCTCTCTTTTCTTTATCTGTGATGTTTCCAAACCACACAGACACAGAACCAACAAGTAAACTCTCAATGGTGCAGTGATAAAAATTAAGCAGAATCTTAGAGTTAGTGGTAAATTCTCTAAGTTTCCGCAAAAAGAAGAGCCGCTGACGAGCTTTCTTAACAACCCGGTCAGTGTTTTTAACCCATTTCAGGTCGTTAGACAGAGTTAAACCCAGGAACTTGCACTCCTCTACGATCTGCACCTGGGATTTATCAATAACAACAGGAGTGTGAGAACTGCTACGACTGAAGTCAAAGACAAGTTCACATGTTTTTGCAGTGTTCAGCTGGAGATTGTTTACTTTACTCCACTGAAAAATATGTTCGATCTCTGCTCTATAAGAGGAATCATCATTGTCACTGATGAGACCGATGATGGTGGTGTCATCAGCATATTTGATGATCAAATTTGAGTCAGAGGAGGACACACAATCGTGAGTGTACAAAGTAAAAAGCAGAGGACTCAAAATACATCCCTGAGGAGAACCAGTGCTCACAGAAACAACATCAGAAAAACAGCCATTGATTTTTACTCTCTGAGATCTGTCAGTTAAGAAGCTAAAAATCCATTTACACATGGCAACATTCAGACCAAGGGACATTAGTTTTTCAACCAATATGCTTGGGACAAGACAATTAAAAGCAGAGCTATAATCAATGAAAAGCATTCTCGCGACAGATTTACTAGTGTCCAAATGAGTGTAGACAGAGTTCAGAGCAAAGGAGATGGCATCCTCCACACTCCTGTTCTGTCTGTAAGCAAACTGGAGCGGGTCAACGCTCACAGGGATCTGGCTCTTAATGAAGTCCAGCACGAGCCGCTCAAAAGTCTTCATAAGAACAGACGTGAGGGCCACAGGACGATAGTCATTGAGACATGTCACTGGAGACTTCTTAGGAACTGGAATAATGGTGGACCTTTTAAAGCTCCACCGGCACCGTACAGCTCCTGACTGACAAGTTAAAGATGTCCGTTAAAACAGGGGCAAGTTGCTCGGAGCACAGTTTCAGGACGCGGGGAGGAATGCAGTCCGGGCCTGCGGCTTTCCGAGCTGTGGTCCTGGACAAGACCCGCCGTACTTCCTCCTGAGTCACTGTGAAGGCACCCTGACATTCGGGGAAGACAAAAGGCAGGGGATCAGCAGATTCAAAGCGGCAGTAAAAGTCGTTGAGCTCGTTTGGCAGAGTTTGGCCAGCAGCAATTTTCCCTGCACTTGGTTTCCAGGACGTGATAAGACTGATCCCCTTCCACATGCGTCGAGGGTCCTCTTCCCCAAAGAAGCCCTCCAACCTGTCCCCATAGGAACGCTTAGCAGCTTTTATAGGGCCCGTATTTATATCTAATTCTTTCTGTAATAAAAAAAATCAAAAACATGTGCCTAATATTGGTCAGTAGAAAGAATTATGTGGCGGATTTGTGTTCTCCTCCCTATCTCTATAAAGTAAAGTCGGAAACATAAACATTTCTTTGGAAAATTGCTTGGAATTCCACAGTGTTGTTAAAAGCACCTGCCCTTGCACTGAAATCTAATTTCTACACACGACGCAACAAGTTCACTATAATCACGTTTTGTTTGAAGTCATTATTGTTTCGGGGGTTTGACGTGGAAAAACTTAATTTTGGTCACCTGTTGGTAACTCTTCATTTATTACGAATTAACTTGCTGCAGATTCACTTAAGTCTACCATGCTTATGTCATTAATATGTATTGTGGGGAAAGGAGGGTGGGTTTATTCAAAATCACTGAAATCGCAAGGGATGGAATATGAAAATTCCAATGCTTGCATATGGAACGTACAATGTAAAGCCGTCGTGTCCAGACTTTGTCACGCTTGTGTGCCTTGATAAGACGAGTTAATTGTGGAATGAAGTCTAGGGGAACAGTGTGAGGGAAAGAGCTTACGTCCACACTTATTTATGATGACAGTGCAATAATTCATTTATGCTGCTTTCATTTGAGTCCACATTCCTTGTGGACAGCGTACGACGGTAGCATGGGTGATCGTACAGACCATATGGGTGTCAGGCTTGTGAGGCCGTACCATGTAGGGTTAGGGATGGATGCTATTGACTTATTTCCGATCGAGAAGGTGGCCAGTAATTATGTGTTTTATATGTGCAAATAGAAAAAACCATTATTGTCTAAAACTCGTATGGATAGTCTGTCTATTCTGAACGCTGCCAATGACGCATCTGATTCTGCCATCACTGTCCACTCCTGTGCGGTATCATCAGAGCGTGCCGATCGATTCTTAGTCAAATGGCAGGGGACCTTTGGACGAGTACAATATTTAAAAAAATGTCAATGAATATTCAAAGTAAAGACAGCGTGTAAACCATATTATACATGCTCTGCCCCATTTGAATGAAAACACAATGCCACTTTGTGCCTTTTAAATTTCTGTTACTACTGGGATATACAAAAAATGTATGTGCCGAGTCCCTCACTAAAACACAGACGTAGTATTTGTCTTCGGCGTACACTCTGCACCGCGTGTGTACTCCATCAACATCACATAACCACAAGTAAAACATGGGACAGTTGACTTTTGTGGCGACGACGACAACGAACAGGTTTGATTATATTGGTGATTGCACTTCAGCAGTCGTGAGTGGCAGGTGGATAGAGCGTGTGAAAGTGTGTGGTGGGGGGTTTTACACATTATAGCTGCTACTTCACAGATTTCATTATTGTCGAGAGAGATTGTCATTACTCCTGCACCGCTCCCGTACAACGTAACCCTCGTGTGAACCAGTGTCGGCGAGTGTGTGTGTGGTTCTTTTTTGCAGACTACTAATCAAAATCAACAGCAAGTGACAGCACCAGTCTAATTTACAGGTAGAGTTATTTGCACAAACTAAAACCCAGAATGAGAAAAAAGGATTGTAGTAGAATTGACTGGAGATGGACTACGATAAACATGACCATTTAGAATGTTTCCTTTCTTTATTCGCTGTATTGTGTTTACAAGACAAGCATTTTCAAGAAAGTCAAATGGATAAACAAGCAGGTTCTAAACATTGTGCTTCAGGTATGGGTTATTTTGAGTCTGTAAAAAGCAAACTAGTAAACCATTATAATACTAGTTTTCCATTTTACTGATGTGAACATAGACTTTTTGCCACACTGCGCTTGAGGGACAGAGCATGGGATTTAACCTTATATAGCAGGAGGTCAATTCGAGGTTTTCCTCTGATTACTGCAGTGATCCAACAGTCGTTCAGTGTTGAGCTCTCTTGTGCCCTTCTGCATGTCCACTATGGTGTGGTGAGTTAGGGAAAAGTTTCCTGGCTGATGACCAAGGTTTATCATAGAATGAGTGGGGTTAAGGGCTGGGGGAATGTGTAGGAGACATACATCAATATTCAGAATATCAAGCCTGGTTCACACGGAGGATAAATCTGGCGATTTGGACCCTGATTTACCCCTACGACAATCGTAAAGAACACTCAGAATTATTGTAACTAAAAAAATCTGATGGATTTTCTGCCGGTGTGTGTTGTGTGTTAGACTGTTGTTGTCGCTCGGAAGGACTTCCGGAAACTGCGCGATCTCAATATCGGGGATATCTAGACATGTTAGATTGTTTTGGCCCGATTTCTCCTTGTGCTTTTGGTGACCCCCAAGGACAGGACGAGTGCGTTGCCTGACTCGCGGGCGTGTGCAATCAGAAGCGAGAAGAGGCGGCGAGGAAAACACCGTAAAAAAACAACTCACCTCCATTCCGATGTAGAAAAACTTGCTAAAAACAAACTATCGGCACTGCATCCTCTTAGTCCGCTGGATTGTTTAATCTGAAGTCACGCTTGATCTCGCGAGATTTTGTGAGATTTCCGTCTGACCTGGAATGCTCGGGGGGAGAATCGGTTTGTGTGTCATGTGTGTGGTTTGCGTGTGATATTGCGTGTGGCTGGCACCAACAACTGCACGACCAAAGTTTTAGTTAGGACCCGTGATTTTTATGTGTGTGAGGTCTCGACACGAGAAAAAATACGGCCGACAATTTTAAAAATCGTCTCGTGTGTAACCTGCCTTTACTTGGAAGTGAGGAACTTCTCCGTTAGATCAGGGTAAGATTCCATAGGGTAATTTTTACTCTGCATTTGACCCATCCCTGCAATGCCACCAAACCTGTGTCTAAATCAGGGGTCCAAAGTTTTTAGTTGCACCATCCTCTGCGCTGCTGCCCACAACCCTTCCTGTCGCGATGAATGCAGGTACTCTATTTGTTTGTTGCCTCCAAACACCTTTAGCTTCTAGCAAACACAAGCAGAGTAAGCTATGTAAGCTATGGTAACTTGATTCAGTCGGAACAAAAATGACAAATGTAATTAACATCTAAAATTTGTATCAGACTCTTCTCCACAGGTAGATTCCAAAAAGGGAAATGTATGTGACCATCAGTAGCTTCTACGGACAAAACACATTTTCACATAATTCAATAACTGTGTATCTAATCCGAACCAAACATATAACCAAGGGTTACTCACTCTTAAAGAGTGTGGTGTCTCTCTTTGGGTGTAAACTAAATATAGAAACAGAAAAAGTCTCAAAGATATGAAGACCAAAACTGTACATGAGCAGTAATTACACTTCGAAACTAAAAGCTGTCAAACTGACTGCTCTGGGAGCACTAATGTGTGCTGGTCTTTGACAGAAAAATCCAAAAAAAGGACTTTATTTGTGTTGTTAATGGTGTATGACTCCTTTTGTCTTTTGAACTGAGAGAGAGGAATAGTGCTCATATTTAACTGGTGTGAACGCTGCTGTCCATGTTCTGTTCTCCAGGACCTTGTGTCTAAGATGCTTCACGTGGACCCCCACCAGAGACTGACCGCCAAACAAGTGCTGAGACACCCCTGGATCATCCATCGGGACAAGCTGCCCAACAGCCAGCTCCCGCACCAGGATGCCTCCCTGGTCAAGGTGAGCAGAGGAGGAACACGTCACTAAACCATGCTCTGCTTAAAGACCAACTTTATCATAAGCCTTAGAGAATAAATAGTGTGCCTTCATTTGGGTACTGAGGTCCTTCCTCAAATGGAGGAGGTGGAGTATCTCAGTGAGGGATGGAGGGTGAGATTAACAGGCCGACTGGGGAAGAATGTCTGGGACTCTCGGATTATAAATACAGGAGCCCCACAGGGCTGTGTTCTTTCTCCCCTGCTCTTCTCCCTGTACACCAACCACTGCACCTCCAGCCACGACTCCGTGAAGCTGATCAAGTTTGCGGACGACACCACCCTCATTGGACTCATCTCCAACAACGATGAATCCGCCTACAGGAGGGAGGTGGACCGGCTGATGTCCTGGTGCAGTGGTGCAGCGCATTGTGCGCTCTGCAGAGGAAGTGATCGGCCGCAGCCTTCCATCGCTGCAGGACCTGTACGTCGCCTGAGCTCGAGGCCGGGCTGGTCGTATCACAGCCGACCCCTCTCACACTGCACATGGACTATTCCAACCACTCCCCTCAGGCAGGAGACTGCGGTCCATTACACTGTAAACCCTGACAAGTAAAGTTTACATGAAAAAGCCATGGAAATAAATTGCGTATTAACTTCACTTGAATTCCTCGAGTACATCCTTTACTTGATATTACCAAGTAAACTCAAGTGATTGCAATAAAGTTTAAATTTCTACTTATGTTCCGACCGGGATTCGTACTCGGTACCCTGTAGTTGAGATGTAATGGTGTTACCCACTCAGCCACCAGGCCACCCTGGCATTAACATGCCTGCCTCATTAAAGATTCTACACGTCAAAATGTCAAAAGTGAGGCTTACTTGAACAGAAACAGTTCAATTCAAAGAAAACCCTGAGTGACATAGGCAATCTTTAAATAAACTAACAATAAATGAGTAATATTTACTTACTGGGAAAAATCTATTTAAAATAACTTTGATATCTGAAGTACGATTGAAGTTAGGGTTTACAGCAGGACTAGAACCTCCCGCCACAAGAACAGTTTCTTCCCCTCTGCTGTTGGACTCTTGAACATTTCTTAACCTGTCCCCTCGCCCTTTATAAAGTCACTTTACTGCCCATCATACGTCACTTTACTTCACTGTACTGCTGTCACCTTACATTGTGTGCACCATGTGCACTTGTATATTGTAAATAGTAACTGTAACTCTATTTTAAATTTAAATTTATTCCTTAGAAGTGTTTTTTATTTATTTTTTATTATCTCTTTCTGACTGTTGCACTGAGCTAAAGCAATTTCCAAGTCTGTGACTTCCTGTTACTTACGTGGCAATAAAAATGATTCTGATTTCCCATGTAGTTTGACTGCAAGCCGCATCATTGCGCGGAATAAAAACGCAAGGCTTGTGTTTTGGGCTGACAATTGCAGCTGGGTACGTGTCTGCGCGTTTGCTATGTGCTGCTCTAGGCTTCTACAATGACTGCGCATCTGATATTAGCTCTGCTTCATCCTAGGCGTGCCACCACTTGACGTGTGCCCAATGGCACGCGCGGGGTGTAGAGCACGTTAGTGATAGGGTGAGGGGCAATAAATCCCTATGGGTTTTAGGGACTGATATTCAAAGAATGAACATAGTTAGGGGTGGGAACCAAAGGGTACCTCACGATACGATACAATATGCGATACAAAGCTCACGATAACGATTATATCATGATATGACGATTATCGATATATTGGTCAGAAATATACCATAATGCAAATTTATGGCATAAATAAAAGAAAAATGTTTAGTGAAAAAATACATTTTATTTCATGACAAATTGAATTTTTTTTCTTTCAAAATCGATACTTTGCAAATACATATTGTAGGGTAAGAATTATATAAAGGGTGATTATATGAGTGTAGTGCGGCTAGTCTCCAGATCAGAGTCTCGCCGTGCTACACGAGTTGGGAATCTGCTTTTATTTATTTTGGGCACCAGCAGAGTTTGAAACTTCTGCACAGATCCAACTAATTTGCCTCGAATCAGTCTTATAATCTAATAGTAAGTAAGTTTTTATTTATATACCGCCTTTTCACTGCAGATCTGAGTCTCAAAGCGGTTTACAATTGTTAATGTTGGGCATTTGTCTCACTCCACACAGAGATGGGAGCGGGGCCGCCAGTACAGGAGGCGCATGCCAGACCTATTGGACATATTTTTAGTGGTAGGGGAAACCGGAGTACCCGGAGGAAACCTACGCAGACACAGGCCCTCAGAAAGGCCCTGGTCCGGCCGGGATTCGAACCCAGGACCTTCTTGCTGAGAGGCGAGAGTGCTATCCACTCAGCCACCGTGCCGCCCAATAGGTAGTGAATGCGTATATCGGCCAGGGATATCCAAGACTTATAAACACGACGCTGAAATGAATTAGTTAAAGATAACGGGGTTTATTGACTACAAAAATGAAAATATTAAATATAACGAAAAAGGTTTTCTGGTCACATTAAGTAAAGATTGTCATACATATCATTCAAATCACCATCCAACAAGGAACAGTCTTACTTTGAGGGGTTCAAAGAGGTGATGGCGATGGGGCAATGAGATGATGAGGATGAAGAAGGGTGATGGGAACAGCGAGGGCCTCGTCCACGTGTCCTTTGTCCGAACGGGGAGCAGGAGGAAGCCAGCAGGTCAGGTCCAGACGTGGGTTCCACACACGACACGGTCTAGAATAGTGTTGTGGTGGGTTGTCCAGGGAGCCCAAAAGTGGCCGGTGATGGAAGTTCTCGTCTCCGACAGCGGGGATGGATGCTGTCCTCGTGGATGTACAGAGGCCTCGGTGCGTTACAGGCGTAGGCCGCGTAGGAGACGCGTACCGAAAGGTAGAGTTGCTATAGTGATTACAGGAAGAACCAAGAGAAAGTCCTGGGTCTGCGGTCTGGTTTTGTTGTGCTCCAAAGGGGGCGCGTCCGTGACGTCGTCCTTGCGCGTCTCCCTGGACATCCTTCACAACAGACATGTTATACTGGTAAAACACAGGATTAATACAGACATTCATATCGTTCATAATCATATACCGATACACAGTGCATTCACATCACAGACAACGCCACATACGAGTAGTGTTCGTAATGGTTATCACATAATGTCATCGGGGAATGTCCGTTTCGAGTGTCCGCCTCGGGTGTGATAGTGTTCAGTGTCCACTGGGGGGCGCCATAGCGCCGTGGGTGAGTCACAGAATGTCTCAGGGCCGTGGAATGTCCCGTGAGTGAGAGCAGATTAGTGCTCTCTGATCTCTGCCAGGCAGAAAGGCACAAAGATGTTTGTTCTGGGGCTCAGTTTATGGCCTTGGTTGACACTTATGGTCACGGTGACTGATGATGTCCTCTGGTTGACCTGGTCGTCTCTTAGATGTGCGTCAAGATGGGTCATGCTCGGAGGGCATGTTTACACATCTTGGTTTGCTGGTCAACGTCCGACTGGCTGTCCTTTAATTCACCTTACAATATCAATAATCAATTGCGGGAGAAAGTATCACAATATATTGTTATTAGTGCTGTCCAACGATTAAAATATTTAATCGCAATTAATCGCATGAATTTCATAGTTAACTCGCGATTAATCGCAAATTAGTCACACATTTGTGTGTGTGTGTGTGTGTGTGTGTGTGTGGGTGTGTGTGTGTATGTGTGGGTATAGACCATAGACTGTATAGAAACATCATGGTGTCATTATGATGATGATAAACAATCTGTAAATATTTTGTAAATTTGTTCATGTAAATACTCTATGCTGTTTCTCTGTTCACTTTCGGTATATCTATGACTGTATACTGTTTGCTTGTATTGCCTTTTTTATTAACCCCTCCCCCCCATCTCCCACTTCAGATATATATATATATATATATATATATATATATATATTATATATATATCCTGTACACCGCACAGGATGAAAGCCTTGTGACTCAAAAACAGACAAGATTTACATGGTTTTCAATGGGAGCCAAACGGAGTTGCTCCATCTCTGCTCATAAACTACAGACAGTAATGCGCTGCAGTGCGTGTGTCTATACTTTATGTCAAATGTAAACGGTGTAAACTTTGTCGCTAACTCACCCTGTGTTTTCATCACGACTCGGGCACATGTGAAAAGCACCAGCTCACAGCGCCGCACCGCAACACGGAGTCGGGGTGCGTTCACAGACGGGGGAAACCGTAGGAATTTTTAGATTTCGGCGGAAAAAGTGCGAGAATACAGGAGGGAGGAACTTTCTCTCGTTGCGTTTTAAAAGAGAAAACAGATTCCAGCGTTCATAGTGATGTCTGCCGTTCATGACACATAAAATGAACTAATTCACGTTCAAGTTCTTTTTTTTAAAATGTGTTCACGAAAAAATGAGCGTGTTCAATGAACGCGTTCTTTTGAACTCGTTCACGCACAACACGTCTCCTATGTGCCCTTCTGGGTTTCTTCTTTGGCCCCCTATTTCTCCAACTACATATTGTTTGTAATCTCTGTCTACAATGTATCTGAACTAGTCCTTTTCTTTGTTTCTATTTTTTTCTGTATATGTGTTTGTCTGCAATAAAAACTAAAAAACTAAAAAAAAAAAAAATTAATCGCGCGATAAAAAAAATGACGTTGTTAATATTGATTTGCGTTAACGCGTTAATAACGCAATATTTTGGACAGCACTAATTGTTATATCAACATATCGTCACACTCCTACAAATAATGCATAACATTGGTTCTTTGAATAAGAATGTTGTGAACAGTGATCACGACAACGGGCCTTATGTATTCTGGTTTACGTAATCCCATCTGTGGATCAATGCGTGTGTTTGTCTGATGTGCAGGGCGCCATGGCGGCTACATACTCAGCCCTGAAGAGCTCCCAGCCCACGCCAGAGCTGCAGCCCATCCAGACGTCCTTCCTGGCCCAGCGGCGGGTCCAGAAGCTGACCTCCACCTCCCTCTAGAGACTGAGGCTCACTGTAGGGGGCCATGCTCCCGATCCCAGCCAAGGAACTGCCACTGTGGCCCCGCCTCCTCAGCTCTTTGTGGAGAAGCATCGATTTAGCATTTTTACAATTTCAGGCGCTAGAAGATTTCTCACTTTGAAACATTTAGACCCTAAAACTAAAGCGCTGTTTCCACCAGCCCTACTCTGCTCACTCTACGCTACCTGGTTGTTTCCATTACGCTTTACTATCTGGTATCCTAGCAACCTTCCCTCAACAAACCAGTATCCAGGGAAATTCCTTGATAACCATGGCTTACAGCAGCACACTGGCCAATCACTGTCGGTTAGAACACTTAAGCTCGGCCTAAATAGAACCAGGACCAAGAGGGACTAAAGAAGGACCTGGTATTGGTTACACAGGGAGTTGAGTGTGCGGGTGAATTATGCAGTATAAATTATGCAAAAACTTGAAACCATGTCGACCTAATCAAAACCAGACCTGGAGTTGTGTTCAGCTTCAAACAACAAATCTTCAAACAATGCCCTCATGACATCCTCATGTTTTCTGATGTTCGAATCCGTTGTGGATATTTCTCCAGCCAAATGATGCCCTTTACCTCCACCATGTTGTATATTTAAAGGGGAAATTCAACCAATCAACAATGAATTACCTTGTACACAAGTTGTGCTATACAAATAAAAGTGCTTCACAAGAGCTTTAAAACCCTAGCTCAAAAAGATAATACAGATTCAACATATTTAAACAGAAGTCTCAAAGTATTGGCTTAAAACAGATAAATAGTACAAGATCGGTATAGCACAGGCAAACAGAAATGAGTCCTGTCTCACAGCCTCAATCTGAACTGCTGCCTACCCACGTTTAGACGACATTACTTTTGAAAACATCAAACACATCATCTCAAAATCTTGTTTTAGGGCCAAAATGTTCTTTAAAGCAGGATGGGAAAATTTTCTCTGTACGTATGCCACCTTCCATGTCAAGATTGGGCCCCAACAAAACAAAAACATTTAGCGCTTATGCTACAAGCTTCATGGTTTGATCCCCAACTGGCACCAAGCCCCGAGTCTCTGAGACGTCTGCCCATTCTGTTCACTGGCCTGTTCTTTGGCTCATGAGTGGTCAGACTGGTTTTCACATAGTCACACTCACAGGCTGCATACAGATGAACAATGCTAACCCGCTAGCTCAACGAAGCCCAATAGAGAAGTGCTCATAACTTAAATGTAAACGGGCTCCTATATGGACTTAAATGTAAACGTAAACTCCTCTAGCTCAGTATCTGTTTGTGTCACACTCACCATTTTGGGATTAAAAAATCTCTTTGTGATCCTGGTTTTTATATTGTGATATTGTCTTTGTAAATCCAGATATTAGCCATATAAGGATTGAGCAATCAGATGCCTTCTATCACGGAGGAAACTCCAGTTTGCCTTAGCAACGTCTGCTTCTGTCCATATTAAGGCTAACACTGGGGTGATGTCACACTGTGGTCATGCTGCTCCATGTACCCCTCTGAGCTGAATACTGGGGCATTCTTTACCTTACCTCAATCCCAAACTTTACCCTTAACTCTAACACTTATTGGGTGTTTACGCTGGACGTTGGATGTGTTTATGTGCGGTACAAAAATGATTCCTCTATTGATAAAGGTACTGAGAAGAGGATTTCCTTCTTTTCAACACAAACATTTAAGGTTCCATAGTTTTTAGTAATGAGGCTACTTAGTTTTACCATCTGGGCATGTCGGGAGAACCTGTTGTGACTGGATCTGTCAAAACGGCGCCATTTACATCATTTTGTGACAATCAAAAACACAAGTCAATGGCTGTGTTCCCAGCTTTCCAACAAGGTAATACATGCCTGAATTGGTGAAGCTGAAGTTGGCTGGACGACACCGACCTTAAAGACTATGACTTAGTAAGGCAGCGGGCCACATAACATAGCAGAGGGTCGCAATTGGCCCATGGGCCTAATTTGGACAGGCCTGGGCTAAAACATGAAATTCTACACACACAAAAATGACAAGCATGAAATTGAGTACCTTCTTTCTTTGACAAAAGTAAAACAATTTTCAGAATGTGTACATTTTTATTGGGATTCATTCACAAAGCTATGCACTTAATATTGTAAAAGACCATTGTTGAAACACTCCACAGGCAAAATATGATAATGGCAGTAAGATGAATAATAATGCATTGATTCGCACTTTTTCGGACGCTCAAAGATGCTTCACATAATCATTCTTTCACTCCATAAACACAAATACATAAAGTGTGGGGGAAAAAACAATGTGAAGATGTATTTTCTGGGTGAAAAACATTCACAGTGAGAAATGTTCCAGAGTCAGAGATGGTTGAACCGAAGCCGATGCTCCTCCATCCGCCTGAACCTGAATGTATGCGATGGTGCATGAGCCACAGCGGCGCCGCGGACACAGCCATGTTTTTCTCTTTTTTATTTAGTTTTATCGTGAGGATCGTAGTCGTGGTTGGATTGGTGCTGGTCGCTTGCTGCACGCTTGTCCGTCTGCTTGTCCTTTTGCGCTGTAATGTTTTGTTCCTGTTAACCTGCATTTCCAAGGTTCCTTCAGCAGGTGGCAGAGAAATGTTTGTATTTTTGCCTTTTTGGGTCGGCATGGATGTCACATGTTGCTTTTTCTGTATTTTCAAGTGGATTTTTTCTCCCCTTACTGTTTTAAAAGTTGAAACTGTTGGTAAAAATTGCTTGGTGAATTATGCTGGAAATCTTATGTAAAACTTGCACTGTGGAATATTGATGACCTTTCATATGCTTACAAATGGAGCTATTTTGACAATTAAAACAGGAATATGCAAATAAACGCTTGGTGACTGTTTCATGTTCTATTATCTTATTTATGATTGTGAAAATACATCAAAAAACATGAATACTTTCTGTTCCGGACAAAAGTTCTGGACCTCTGATCATGTCATTTTGCATTATTTATAGAGGGACTTTAACGAGTTTCAGACGGGCCGATTGTACTGGGGCACCAACTAACACGCAAACCACAGTGGCACAGTGGACATGAGCCATGGATCTATTATAATAACGGTATTACAGCTTGGAGCTGAAGGACCCATGTGCTCGCAGGATTCTCGCGGTACTGCAAACTAAACCACACTATATTCACGTGGGCTACCTAGAAACAGAAGCTGATGTGACGGCGTTGGTTGGCCTTGTGGATTAAAAGTAACTTTCTAAATATGGTATTGCTACACTTTATGGCAAAAATTGCAGTAGTCTGTGGGACTTGAACAAAAACAAACAATATTTTTGTTGCTTAAACTTATGTATGTACGTTGAATGGTTTACTAAAAATCCATGTGAAAAAAATACTTCTCACTGTTCTGAGGTCAAATATTTAAAAGCAATTAAAATACGGTTAATTAATTAGCCTCTAAATAAAGCCTCTCATTAATTAGATTCATTTTTGTAATTGAGTCCCCGGCCTAATTATTAATAAAAGAAATGTATCTCCCCAGTGGAGGAAGTCTCCGAACACGTTGGTGGACACTGGTGGTAGGGGTTTCAGGCTGAAGGAGTCCTATCGAGCCATGATGATTCTTGGGACTCTCGATAGGACTCCTTCAGCCTGACAGCATCCAAGGGTGCCCAGGTTTTTGCCTCTGCAACTGCCCAGAGCCTCAACTGGGGATATTGTAGTGTGGCGGAAGGAATACTTCGAGGTTCTCCTCAATCCCTTCGTCATGCCTCCGGAGGCAGAGGCTGAGGATTTTGGGGTGGTTATTTCTATCTCCCTGGCTGAAGTCACCAAGGTGGTTAGCAGCCTCTTCAGTGGCAAGTCTCCAGGAGTGGATGAGATCTGTCCTGACTATTTAAAGTCTCTGGTCCCTCTACCGGAGGTATCGGAGATTGTGTTCCAATTATCGTTGGATAAGATAGACTTTAAAAAAACAGTGGCAATAGTGGTGCAGGTTTTCTTTTTTAGTCCTAGTGCAAGTCACATAAAGTGACTTATTGTACAGTCTGACAGCATTGGGGATAAAGGCCCTGTGGTAGCGCTCCTTCTTGCACTGAGGGTGCCTCAGTCTTCAACTGAGAGAGCTCCTCAGCTCCTCTACAGTCCTGTGCAGTGGGAGGTGTTGTCCATGATGGAGGTGACTTTGACTAGCACCTCCTGTCCCTCACCTCCTCCACAGAGTTGCAGTGGTTGATCATTTCTTGATCAACCACTGCAAATCTCTTTGTAGAAATGAACTTGATCTTTTCTATTAAGGGACTCTTAGTTAGCAGCATTGAATGTGTCAGGGACAGAGTCAGAGACAGGGAGACAGCAGCAGCTTCAAGTGGCTAAATACCTATTCAGGAAGGCTGCTAAGTCTCGGCGTATGGAGTGTCTACAGCAGCCGTTTGCTGATGGCGACCCTGCTTGTGTATAAAGTTTGGGCTTTTACAAACTACAAGCCCAAAGCCCCCCACTGTCCTGACAACTGCAAGCCAGCCGAACTGCTACACATTTTTTTCAGCCGCTTTGATGTTGTTCTAGCCTGGTTTTACCACACCTTGGTACAAATTACATTTCATACTAAGGTCTGGATTTGCTCCATTGAGCTCCGTGAACAGGTGGGAGGGGTTAACTTCTTTTGCAGATTGAAACGATTGGATCTGAGTTTACCGTGACGTATGTAATGCGCCTGAGTGAGTTGTTAGCATTAGCATTTAGCTTATTTTAATGTTACTAAAACATTTACAATAACGTAATGACAACAATAAACCAACACAAGCAACTCTCTGTCTGCTGCCGCCCTCTACCACCAAATACATCCCTCTGATTAACCCCACACAACTTCAGCACACACACATATACATGAACTCACACAAACATGAACTCACGCAAACAAATACGTACAAACATAAGGACTCGTTGTATCGCAGTCATTTTACTGCCCATGCCCACAACAAAATTTTACTGTTTTCTTTTTTTTTTTTTTTTCCTATGTTTAACTTTATTT